TAGTACAAGACACGCCTTACTGTATGTCTACTAGTACAAGACAAGCCTTACTGCATGCTACTACTACAAGACAAGCCTAACTGTATGTCTACTAGTGCAAGACAAGCCTTACGGTATGTCTAGTAGTACAAGTCAAGAGTTACTGCATGTTCAGTAATACAGAACAAGCCTTACTGTATGTCTAGTAGTGCAAGACAAGCCTTACTGTGTGTCTAGTAGTGCAAGACAAGCCTTATTGTGTGTCTAGTAGTACAAGACAAGCCTTACTGTATGTTCAGTAATACAGAACAAGCCTTACTGTATGTCTAGTAGTACAAGTCAAGCCTTACTGCATGTTCAGTAATACAGAACAAGCCTTACTGTATGTCTAGTAGTGCAAGACAAGCCTTACTGTATGTCTAGTAGTGCAAGACAAGCCTTACTGTGTGTCTAGTAGTGCAAGACAAGCCTTATTGTGTGTCTAGTAGTACAAGACAAGCCTTACTGTATGTCTACTAGTACAAGACAAGCCTTACTGCATGCTACTACTACAAGACAAGCCTAACTGTATGTCTACTAGTGCAAGACAAGCCTTACGGTATGTCTAGTAGTACAAGACAAGCCTTACTGTCTGTCTACCAGTACAAGACAAGCCTTACTGCATGTTCAGTAATACAGAACAAACCTTACTGTATGTCTAGTAGTGCAAGACAAGCCTTACTGTGTGTCTAGTAGTGCAAGACAAGCCTTATTGTGTGTCTAGTAGTACAAGACAAGCCTTACTGTATGTTCAGTACCACAGAACAAGCCTTACTGTATGTCTAGTAGTACAAGACAAGCCTTACTGTATGTCTAGTAGTGCAAGACAAGCCTTACTGTATGTCTACTAGTACAAAAAAGCCTTACCGTATGTCTACTAGTGCAAGACAAGCCTTACTGTATGTCTACTAGTACAAGTCAAGCCTTACTGTATGTCTAGTAGTACAAGACAAGCCTTACTGTATGTCTAGTAGTACAAGTCAAGCCTTACTGAATGTCTACTAGTACAAGACAAGCCTTACTGTATGTCTACTAGTGCAAGACAAGCCTTACTGTATGTCTAGTAGTACAAGTCAAGCCTTACTGTATGTCTAGTAGTACAAGACAAGCCTTACTGTATGTCTAGTAGTACAAGTCAAGCCTTACTGTATGTCTAGAAGTACAAGTCAAGCCTTACTGTATGTCTAGTAGTACAAGACAAGCCTTACTGTATGTCTAGTAGTACAAGTCAAGCCTTACTGAATGTCTACTAGTACAAGACAAGCCTTACTGTATGTCTAGTACCACAGAACAAGCCTTACTGTATGTCTAGTAGTACAAGTCAAGCCTTACTGTATGTCTAGTAGTACAAGACAAGCCTTACTGTATGTCTACTAGTACAAGACAAGCCTTACTGTATGTCTACTAGTACAAGACAAGCCTTACTGTATGTCTAGTAGTACAAGACAAGCCTTACTGTATGTCTACTAGTACAAGACAAGCCTTACTGTATGTCTAGTAGTACAAGACAAGCCTTACTGTATGTCTACTAGTACAAGACAAGCCTTACTGTGTGTCTACTAGTACAAGACAAGCCTTATTGTGTGTCTAGTAGTACAAGACAAGCCTTACTGAATGTCTACTAGTACAAGACAAGCCTTACTGTATGTCTAGTAGTACAAGACAAGCCTTACTGTGTGTCTACTAGTACAAGACAAGCCTTATTGTGTGTCTAGTAGTACAAGACAAGACTTACTGAATGTCTACTAGTACAAGTCAAGCCTTACTGTATGTCTACTAGTACAAGTCAAGCCTTACTGTATGTCTACTAGTACAAGACAAGCCTTACTGAATGTCTACTAGTACAAGACAAGCCTTACTGTATGTCTACTAGTACAAGACAAGCCTTACTGTGTGTCTAGTAGTACAAGTCAAGCCTTACTGAATGTCTACTAGTACAAGTCAAGCCTTACTGTATGTCTACTAGTACAAGACAAGCCTTACTGTGTGTCTAGTAGTACAAGACAAGCCTTACTGTATGTCTACTAGTACAAGACAAGCCTTACTGTGTGTCTACTAGTACAAGACAAGCCTTATTGTGTGTCTAGTAGTACAAGACAAGCCTTACTGAATGTCTACTAGTACAAGTCAAGCCTTACTGTATGTCTACTAGTACAAGACAAGCCTTACTGTATGTCTACTAGTACAAGACAAGCCTTACTGAATGTCTACTAGTACAAGACAAGCCTTATTGTGTGTCTAGTAGTACAAGTCAAGCCTTACTGTATGTCTACTAGTACAAGACAAGCCTTGCTGAATGTCTACTAGTACAAGACAAGCCTTATTGTGTGTCTAGTCGTACAAGTCAAGCCTTACTGAATGTCTACTAGTGCAAGTCAAGCCTTACTGTATGTCTACTAGTACAAGACAAGCCTTACTGTGTGTCTAGTAGTACAAGACAAGCCTTATTGTGTGTCTACTAGTACAAGTCAAGCCTTACTGTATGTCTACTAGTACAAGTCAAGCCTTACTGTATGTCTACTAGTACAAGACAAGCCTTACTGAATGTCTACTAGTACAAGACAAGCCTTACTGTATGTCTACTAGTACAAGACAAGCCTTATTGTGTGTCTAGTAGTACAAGTCAAGCCTTACTGAATGTCTACTAGTACAAGTCAAGCCTTACTGTATGTCTACTAGTACAAGACAAGCCTTACTGTGTGTCTAGTAGTACAAGACAAGCCTTACTGTATGTCTACTAGTACAAGACAAGCCTTACTGTGTGTCTAGTAGTACAAGACAAGTCTTACTGTATGTCTACTAGTACAAGACAAGCCTTACTGAATGTCTAGTAGTACAAGACAAGCCTTACTGCATGTTCAGTAATACAGAACAAGCCTTACTGTATGTCTACTAGTACAAGACAAGCCTTACTGAATGTCTAGTAGTACAAGACAAGCCTTACTGCATGTTCAGTAATACAGAACAAGCCTTACTGTATGTGTACTAGTACAAGACAAGCCTTACTGCATGTTCAGTAATACAGAACAAGCCTTACTGTATGTTCAGTACCACAGAACAAGCCTTGCTGTATGTCTAGTAGTACAAGTCAAGCCTTACTGTATGTCTACTAGTACAAGTCAAGCCTTACTGAATGTCTACTAGTACAAGACAAGCCTTACTGCATGTTCAGTAATACAGAACAAGCCTTACTGTATGTTCAGTACCACAGAACAAGCCTTACTGTATGTCTAGTAGTACAAGACAAGCCTTACTGTATGTCTAGTAGTGCAAGACAAGCCTTACTGTATGTCTACTAGTACAAAAAAGCCTTACTGTATGTCTACTAGTGCAAGACAAGCCTTACTGTATGTCTACTAGTACAAGACAAGCCTTACTGTATGTCTACTAGTACAAGACAAGCCTTACTGTATGTCTACTAGTACAAGACAAGCCTTACTGAATGTTTAGTACCACAGAACAAGCCTTACTGTATGTTTGGTACCACAGAACAAGCCTTACTGTATGTCTAGTAGTACAAGACAAGCCTTACTGTATGTCTAGTAGTACAAAACAAGCCTTACTGTATGTCTACTAGTACAAGACAAGCCTTACTGTATGTCTAGTAGTACAAGACACGCCTTACTGTATGTCTACTAGCACAAGAAAAGCCTTACTGTATGTCTAGTACCACAGAACAAGCCTTACTGTATGTCTAGTAGTACAAGACAAGCCTTACTGTATGTTCAGTAATACAGAACAAGCCTTACTGTATGTCTAATACCACAGGACAAGCCTTACTGAATGTCTAGTAGTACAAGACAAGCCTTACTGAATGTCTACTAGTATAAGACAAGCCATACTGCATCTTCACTAATACAGAACAAGCCTTACTGTATGTCTACTAGTACAAGACAAGCCTTACTGTATGTCTAGTGGTACAAGACACGCCTTACTGTATGTCTACTAGCACAAGAAAAGCCTTACTGTATGTCTAGTACCACAGAACAAGCCTTACTGTATGTCTAGTACCACAGAACAAGCCTTACTGTATGTCTAGTAGTACAGGACATGCCTTACTGTATGTTCAGTAATACAGAACAAGCCTTACTGTATGTCTAGTACCACAGGACAAGCCTTACTGTATGTCTAGTAGTACAAGACAAGCCTTACTGAATGTCTACTAGTACAAGACAAGCCATACTGCATCTTCACTAATACAGAACAAGCCTTACTGTATGTCTAGTAGTGCAAAGGACAAGCCTTACTGTATGTCTAGTAGCACAGGACAAGCCTTACTGCATGTTCACTAATACAGAACAAGCCTTACTGTATGTCTAGTAGCAAAGGACAAGCCTTACTGTATGTCTAGTAGCAAAGGACAAGCCTTACTGTATGTCTAGTAGCACAGGACAAGCCTTACTGAATGTCTAGTAGTACAGGACAAGCCTTACTGTATGTCTAGTAGCACAGGACAAGCCTTACTGTATGTCTAGTAATACAGAACAAGCCTTACTGTATGTCTAGTAGTACAGGACAAGCCTTACTGTATGTCTAGTAGCAAAGGACAAGCCTTACTGTATGTCTAGTAGCAAAGGACAAGCCTTACTGTATGTGTAGTAGCACAGGACAAGCCTTACTGTATGTTCAGTAATACAGAACAAGCCTTACTGTATGTCTAGTAGCAAAGGACAAGCCTTACTGTATGTCTAGTAGCACAGGACAAGCCTTACTGCATGTTCAGTAATACAGAACAAGCCTTCCTGTATGTCTAGTAGCAAAGGACAAGCCTTACTGTATGTCTAGTAGCACAGGACAAGCCTTACTGTATGTTCAGTAATACAGAACAAGCCTTACTGTATGTCTAGTAGCAAAGGACAAGCCTTACTGTATGTCTAGTAGCACAGGACAAGCCTTACTGCATGTTCAGTAATACAGAACAAGCCTTACTGTATGTCTAGTAGCAAAGGACAAGCCTTACTGTATTTCTAGTAGTACAGGACATGCCTTACTGCACGTTCAGTAATACAGAACAAGCCTTACTGTATGTCTAGTAGCAAAGGACAAGCCTTACTGTATGTCTAGTAGCACAGGACAAGCCTTACTGTATGTTCAGTAATACAGAACAAGCCTTACTGTATGTCTAGTAGCAAAGGACAAGCCTTACTGTATGTCTAGTAGCACAGGACAAGCCTTACTGCATGTTCAGTAATACAGAACAAGCCTTACTGTATGTCTAGTAGCAAAGGACAAGCCTTACTGTATTTCTAGTAGTACAGGACATGCCTTACTGCATGTTCAGTAATACAGAACAAGCCTTACTGTATTTCTAGTAGCACAGGACAATCTTTACTGTATGTATAGTAATATCCTAGAGCGACGAAATCGGAGAATAATACCTAAACCTGGTCTGACAAGGCCCCGAACCTTGTCATGAGAAAGACTTTCTTGTTGTTTCTCTGCGTGGTGCTCGTCATTAGATGACTTAACACGCACTGGCAGACGTGAGTTTAGTTTACTTGAAATCAGGTCACATGATGTAACTTGTTTTGCAGGGAACACTCATCACGTGACCCCAGTGTGTCCGGCTGCGCCCCCACGTGTGCGTAAAGCTGACGTAACAAATGGCAGCCGGGTTTTAGGAAGTGTTAGAACGTACACGTGTCACCGTGGACACCTGGACACGTCAGCGGAACTGACCTCGGCCCAGACAACATGCCTTCACAACTCAAGCTGGAGTTTCACGTCACTGAAATGTTCTGGTGAGGTTGAGGTTCATCTCGATGCAGCCTACCTTAAAGGATTGCCGAGTCGTAAATACTGAGCTAACCATTCGCTCAGTTTGTATTTCCTGTCCTTGTAGGTCGAATGATTGTGATTGTTTCGAGCCAGCCATGTCCTAGCTGGTCCTGTGTCGCAGGAGTTTGTTGTTTTACGTCGATTTTATCCATTTACTATACTGTGAATTATCAGTGATAGCGCCTGTATCAGGGCTTTTCCTTCAGCAATGTCCCCGCTCAAAGATGGCGGTCTGTAAGTAATCGAACCTGGACCAAACAATGTAGTCGTTGACAGCATGAACATCTGTCTACGCATTAGGGGTGCGATCACATGTGTCAACCAAATCAGCGAGCCGGACCACCCGATTCTGTTACTCGCTTACTACAAGCATATGTTGGTGAAGTCCAGTGGTGGTATCGTCATGGAGGGCAGGGTAAACTAGCGGTTGATTATGAGCAATCCCCCACACCTTCGTGGGCCAATCACTGAACAGCTTATCACTGTGCAGCCAACAATCACTGAACAGCCAATCATTGAAAACCCAATCACTGAACAGCCAATCACTGTACAGCCAATCACTGAACAGCCAATCACTGTAGAGCCAATCACTGAACAGCCTATCACTGTGCAGCCAACAATCACTGAACAGCCAATAATTGAAAAGCCAATCACTGAACAGCCAATCACTGTGCAGCCAACAATCACTGAACAGCCAATCATTGAAAACCCAATCACTGAACAGCCAATCACTGTACAGCCAATCACTGAACAGCCAATCACTGTACAGCCAATCACTGAACAGCCAATCACTGTACAGCCAGACAGTTTAGATTAGTATTCTTTCATGAGAAGTAAGATATATATACTTCTTTATTTCCTCCAGTAATGAAGATTTACAACAAAGAATGAATATGGATTATGTACAACAAACACAAACATTTAAAAAGGAGTTGGACGGATAGTTAGAGGGATAGTCGCATTGTACAGGGCAGGTAACCAGATGGATAGTTAGAGGGACAGTCGCATAGTACAGGGCAGGTAACCAGATGGATAGTTAGAGGGATAGTCGCATAGTACAGGGCAGGTAACCAGACGGATAGTTAGAGGGACAGTTGCATTGTACAGGGCAGGTAACCAGATGGATAGTTAGAGGGATAGTCGCATAGTACAGGGCAGGTAACCAGATGGATAGTTAGAGGGAGAGTCGCATTGTACAGGGCAGGTAACCAGATGGATAGTTAGAGGGATAGTCGCAAAGTACAGGGCAGGGAATCGAACCTGGGTCCCCGACGCAACGAGCGAACGCCCCAACCAATAGGCCACCCCACAACCCGACGAAACAGAGACGGGTAAAGAAGGGCAGAGATGACAGACAGATATAAATGTAGAGAAAGGGGCACCTAGGCAGACATGGTATCAATTTCCTTTTCACATGATTCCTCATGCAATCTCCGCACTGCACTGGCCCGATATGTCGAGGTACCGGCGACACATGGCTGTCACAGACCGGACAACTGTTAAAGAAGATGTTCTTTCTCATCAGCACATTGATTTGATTTAAACATATTAGGGATTAGGAACAAGCTATCCGACTTAGGTAACATCTCCCGAGTATTTACAACATGATAAATATACAACAAGATACATGTAATATAGAAAGAAATTTAGTACAGAAATGGTAGAGACCTATGTATAGAGATAGTTATTTGCACATATGAAACTTTTTACAGCATTCAAGAAAATCGCTTGCTATTTCATATGTAATGCTGGGCCCCGTTCCTCAAAGCGATCGTAGCGCTAAGATGATCGTAACTCCCATACTTTAACATAGACTTACGACAGTCGTAGCGCTACGATCGCTTTGAGGAACAGGGCCCTGAACTGCTTTAAATATTGCATGATTTTGAGTATATAATAAGTTCTTGCTGCCTTTAAATAATAAATCTAAATTTAAAGCATCATCATGCACTTGTAATTTTCAAAGGTTAAACATTTTCGTTCTGTGTTCGTTATAGGGAACACTCCCACATTCACATTTTGAGTCTGACCTAATGCCAACATTACATAATTCGTAATTCAGTTCACTTACATGATATCGTAAACGAGTATGAGCCAGGAGTGCATTTTGTTGGTATTGTCTCATAAATCAATTCAGTAAGCTGTTGTGCACATACTGTAAATGTGAAGTTTACATTCCAATGTGCTTGGCGTCTTCGCATCACGTGAACATCCGACCCATAGCTTTTGAGATATTATGTGAAACATGTGCTTTACATGTGCATTCCTCTATACTAGCGTATTGTCACATGTGTGGACAAAAATATTACAGATTTGTCTTGGATCCAGGTGGTGCTTAATTATTGCTCATGTCTATGTACATGAGTCTGGCCAGTGTGGTTGTATTTGTGAAGCAAACAAATCTGTTCCCGAAAAATATATAAATATGTCTTACTGGTTTACCCTGAAATAAACGTACTCTGGAAATAAATTGTTGGGGAGAAAACAGTTTGGCTCCTGCTTGTTTGAAAGCAGTGACCAAAGAACTATTGATAGGAATCTCCATGCATGATCATTTATGAAATGTTCGCTCCACAAACTGTCTTGAATTAAATCCTGCTTGTGTTATTTCGGTCAAGGGCCCTGGATCAGGGAATCGACACCGTCAAGGAAAAAACCAAAAACAAAGTGGCTGAATCGACGCATCCTCCGTCAAGTCACGTTTGCCGACACCATGGTGTTCCTAGTGAAGACCTGTAACGACGCCGACTTAACCTTAGACAGCAATGTTCGGCGTTACAAGTACAACCCTAACGTCATCGTCGGTGGTTTCAACAACACCACGTCTGTGATCCGATTGTGTGACAGTCGCCACCATCTCGAAACAGCCATCTTGACCTGTTCCCACTTCCGGCCTTTCTGGATCTCCTGGAAGGGTCGACTTGTCGCCGTTGGCAAGGGGACACAGGTTGGACGAGGAGAGTTCATGAGGTGCTACCTCATGAAATATCAACGTTTTAGAAAAATTGGTATATCGACCTTCATTAATAATCCTGGAGCTTGGTTATTTAAAAAGAGGCGTTGAGAGCGGCTGTCAGCAGTATGCATGTATATAATTACTAGGGGATTCTAAATGTAAAGGCAGCGTATGTACATCTAATTAGGACTTTGTGTGCATGTTGATCGGCAAGAATAAACAAATATCACATATATACTCTTTCTTATCAATGTTTCCTAATTGTGGCACCTGATTAGTGCAAATCTCCAGTAGGGTATCACTGCAAAGGGATGTACAACAAGTAGCGTGACTGTATGTATACCAGGAGAAAAACGTTTGTACAGATGCTTCACAAGGTGATGTTAAATGCCTAGTGTAAGGCAGGTATTGTACAGGTGATGTTAAATGCCTAGTGTAAGGCAGGTATTGTACAGATGCTTCACAAGGTGATGTTAAATGCCTAGTGTAAGGCAGGTATTGTACAAGTGCTTCACAAGGTGATGTTAAATGCCTAGTGTAAGGCAGGTATTGTACAGGTGCGTCACAAGGTGATTCTAAATGCCTAGTGTAAGGCAGGTATTGTACAGGTGCTTCACAAGGTGATGCTAAATGCCTAGTGTAAGGCAGGTATTATACAGGTGCTTCACAAGGTGATGTTAAATGCCTAGTGTAAGGCAGGTATTGTACAGGTGCTTCACAAGGTGATGTTAAATGCCTAGTGTAAGGCAGGTATTGTACAGGTGCTTCACAAGGTGATGTATGTGTAAGGTGTGGGTATATATTGAGTGTGAAGAGAAGGTGGAGGTATGTGTAAGGTCTGGGTATATATTCAGTGTGAAGAGAAGGTGGAGGTATGTGTAAGGTGTTGGTATATATTCAGTGTGAAGAGAAGGTGGAGGTATGTGTAAGGTCTGGGTATATATTCAGTGTGAAGAGAAGGTGGAGGTATGTGTAAGGTCTGGGTATATATTCAGTGTGAAGAGAGGGGGAAGGTATGTGTAAGGTCTGGGTATATATTGAGTGCGAAGAGAAGGTGGAGGTATGTGTAAGGTGTTGGTATATATTCAGTGTGAAGAGAGGGGGGATTATGTGTAAGATGTGGGTAGATATTGGCGTTATAACTAGATAATTGCAGGCAAATGTTTGAAGATATGTTCAGTATGATTATAGGGTACAAAAGAACAACGTACACGCATTGAGGCACACTACGGCAAATATATACTGTCATAGACGTATCGACATTCATTTCACAGGGGCCATGTCCTCCCAACACATTCCACTGACACATGACACACTGAGGCTTATTGATCACTGCTGGCGTCGACATATACCGCCGCAGCTTTAGACCCAACGTTGGATATATCTGCATCCACCATCAACACAGTTCCACGTCGTGACGTCAGGCAGTGTCAGTGATCACGTCGTCAGCGGGAATGTCGCACACTGCAGTGGAGATGACTGTCAATTTGGAGGAATAACGACTATTTCACTGAAGACATTATTTGTGCTTTCACAGTGCACCCAGGCAGTTACCTCCCCTGGTAATCTGTCGTTGAAGGTATACGTCAGTGTGTTGTTAAATGTTATCTGAAACATACCAAAACAGCATAATATGATATCATCTTGTCCGTGCACTTTGTTACAGTTAATGAAGAACTCCCTGATGGGTGCAAGCGACTACATGATCCTAACAAAACGTCCACAGTATGATTCCGACCTCATCACAAGTATATCTATGAATACATCATGCCACTATATGTGTCAAACACAAGCAAGTGCAAGTAATTTTTTCACCTGACCAAATAAGGCAAAAAGTCACGGATAGAATAGAATAGACTGACTGAGTTTGGTTTTACGCCGCTTTTAGCAAAATTCCAGCAACATCACGGCGGGGGACACCAGAAATGGAATAGAATAGAATAGAATAGAATAGAATAATACTTTAATGCCTTTTCAGGAATTTGTGCTACATCAGCAGAGCTACTGACACATTAGAGATATACTAAACATATTTACAGAAATTCTTTGATTTAGGTATCTTCACATTTGTTTAAGAGAGATATGGTACTTCGAATAAAGAATGTACAGGCTCTCTTAGTTTTCACAATTGGAACTTTGTATCGGCGGCCTGAAGGGAGAAGGTTGTATTCCGAATTTAAGTAGTGAGTACGGTCAGATATGATTTTGACAGCTTGATTCACGATTTGCCGCTCATATATTGATGATAAACATTCAAATCTGACTCCAGCGATTTTACTTGCAGTGTTAACAATTTTGTCTATTTTAGATTTGAGATGAACTGAGAGAGACCCGTACCAACAATGGAAGCAAAATGTTAAAATACTCTGAATAGATGCTACATAAAAAGATGACATCACAGATGGGTTAACATTAACAGATCTCAGTTTACGCATGAGAGGAAGACGTTGTTGACACTTTTTGTATAGGGCTTCAGTGTTAGAGCTCTAGTTCAGCTTAGAGTCAATGAAGGTTCCCAGTTACTTATACTCCGGCACTGTCTCAACACATTCACCGTTGATTATCACTGGAAGCAGTTCTGTGGGTTTGCTCCGAAAGTCAATTATCAGTTCCTTTGTTTTGTGACATTTAAGAGTAAGTGGTTTTCTGCACACCAAGTCGTAAAATGATTAATGTCCTCTTTATACAGTTCTTCAGAATGAGTGTCGTTCAGTTTGCTGCATCATCTGCGAACTTTACAGTTGAACAGGTTGAATTCGAGCTTGCACAATCATTAGTGTAGAGGGTGAAAAGAACAGGAGATATTACACAGCCTTGTGGTGCACCAGTGTTGGTGGTCCGTTTACTCAATACAGCCCCGTTAACTTTCACGTACTGCTGTCTGTCCACAAGAAAGTTTTCGATCCACTTGATGAGGTATGAGTTAACGTCCATGTCTAACAGTTTCTGTATCATGATATGTGGCTGGATAGTGTTGAACGCAGATGAAAAGTCAACGAAGAGGATCCTGATGTATGACTTAGGTGTCTCTAGATGTTTATAGACATTATTCAGGAATGACAGTGTGGCATCAACAACTCCTCTCCTTGGCCTGTAGGCGAACCTGTAGGTCCAGTATGTCGGCAACTTCCTGACAGAGATGTCTCAACAAAATGCGTTCCAGCGACTTCATTGCTATAGATGTGAGAGCAACTGGCCTGTAGTCGTTGAGTTCTTTAGGTTGTGTCTTTTTAGGAACTGGTACAATTTCTGATGTTTTCCAGACCGAAGGAATAACGTGTGTATTCACTGAGAATTGAAACAATCTAGTGATGTGTATAGATGATTCTTCAAAAACGTTTTCAAAGAATTAACTGAGGCTTAGAATGTTGTAACCTAGAGTAAACAACACGTGAGCAAAAGTCGACTGAAGTTTTTAGAAAACATGCGCTGACTCTACCTCAAACCAGATACCACATGTTGGCTACTCCAACATGTGGTATCTGGTTTGAGGTACAATCTGCGCGAAAGTTGACCTTCGGAGAATTGAAATCATACCTTCTGTCACACAGACTTTCAGAGAACGAATTGCCATTAAACATGAACCAGATAGGACTGGCTCATTGTGACTGGTCCAAGTGGGTGCATCAGGTAACAAGTATGGGGTATTTGATCATTATGTAACGACATCAGGAAATCGATATACCCAAATCTTAATTTCCAGTTGACCAAATTCCACTGTTTCCTTTTTCAATCCAAGCAGGAAAAGTACCTAAAGTACCTATTTCGCCAAAATGTGATATTCCCAAATTTTACATGGACGACGTTTAAGTCCGACATATCGTATTCTCAGTATACTTCAGAGGACATTTGCCTCTATTTTTGGCAAAACTGAATCCCTGGTTGAAACATTCGACAAACCCATTCCGACATTTTGTCATAATCATCAAATGATTATCTGTTAAATCATGAGGCAACCTCATTTAGGCATCTTGTTATGACCAATAAGCGAGTCGCTGGTTAAACCACGTGGCAATCCCACTCAGAAACGTGGTCATTATTATCAACTGGGTCAAAAATGAAACACCGTCATTTGTCCCTCACCTGGTGTGACGTTGCACTGTCGCGCAGAATAGTGACCTCGAAGTCATGACCCCTCTCAAAGGGGAAGTAACTGGAGGTGTCAATCGTCTCCTCGGCTTGCCAGTTGGGAGCTGCAACGTTGATAGATAGAGTCCTGTAGTCCATGTTGATGACGACATGCATTAGAAACCAGGTAGGCTTGGGTTTTAGGTTGATCTTGAAGCGGGTTTCACTGGGAGACAGAGAAGAAGTCAATATCAGGTGCAGCTGTACCAAACTAAGCAGACGCAGGAGGTTTGTGCTATCGAGTGTATTGCATGTATACTTCTGGAATAATGTAACTGTGCATGATTTAATGTTATGCCATTTTATAATGCAAAAAGATAATAACATGAGTTGTGGTGTGAGTAGGACGTTAACTGGGCGGGACGTTGTGTGAGTAGGACGTTACCTTGGAATGACGTTGTGTGAGTAGGACGTTACTTGGGAGTGACGTTGTGTGAGTAGGACGTTACTTGGGTGGGACGCTGTGTGAGTAGGACGTTACTTGAGAGGGCCGTTGTGTGAGTAGTACGTTACATGGGCGTGACGTTGTGTGAGTAGGACGTTACCTGGCTAGGACGTTGTGTGAGTAGGACGTTACCTAGGTGGGACGTTGTGTGAGTAGGACGTTACCTGCGTTAAACATTGTGTGAGGAGGACGTTACCGGAGAGGGACGTTGTGTGAGTATGACATTACCTGGGTGGGACGTTGTGTGAGTAGGACGTTACTTGGGCGGGATGTTGTGTGGGTAGGACGTTACCTGCGTTGAACGTTGTGTCAGTAGGACGTTACCTAGGCGGGATGTTGTGTGGGTAGGACGTTACCTGCGTTGAACGTTGTGTCAGTAGGACGTTACCTGGGCGGGATGTTGTGTGGGTAGGACGTTACCTGCGTTGAACGTTGTGTCAGTAGGACGTTACCTGGGCGGGATGTTGTGTTGGGTAGGACGTTACCTGCGTTGAACATTGTGTGAGTAGGACGTTACCTAGGCGGGATGTTGTGTGGGTAGGACGTTACCTGCGCTGAACGTTGTGTCAGTAGGACGTTACCTGGGAGGGATGTTGTGTGGGTAGGACGTTACCTGCGTTGAACGTTGTGTCAGTAGGACGTTACCTGGGCGGAATGTTGTGTGGGTAGGACGTTACCTGCGTTGAACATTGTGTCAGTAGGACGTTACCTGGGCGGGATGTTGTGTGGGTAGGACGTTACCTGCGTTGAACGTTGTGTCAGTAGGACGTTACCTGGGCGGAATGTTGTGTGGGTAGGACGTTACCTGCGTTGAACGTTGTGTCAGTAGGACGTTACCGGGGCGGGATGTTGTGTGGGTAGGACGTTACCTGCGTTGAACGTTGTGTCAGTAGGACGTTACCTCGGAATGACGTTTCCTCTCAGCAAGACAGACCATCCGATGTTAAATTCGCAAGGAACAGGATAGTCAGTTTCAGAACTCTGGAATGACAGACGAGACAGGTTTCCGGAATGTTGCCGGTATGATTAAGGTATTTACGTATTCCTGGATACATTCTGTGATGAGTGCCATTGTAACAGTAATAACATATTTAGTACTATTTTTGTGGAAGCAACAATAGTGGTATTAATGTGATGGCTATATTCTTTACTTCATGAATAATTTCAAAGAATTTAGGTTTCCGTGAAAATGGATCTGTGTCAGCTCATATGAATTACTGGAACAGGTCCAAATCCTGTACCACTTGGGGGGTAATGGGAAGGAAACTATAGTAAAATAGTCATTATGAGGGCGAATGCGGGATACGAACCCGTGATTAGAGGAGAAATTGAGATCCCTGTCTTGATTTCACCAATTGTTCCTCGCTATGTGATTTTGTTAAAGTCACTTCAAAAGTGTTTCTAACGCAAAAATATATAACAAAAAATAAGAAATGGGATCTATCACTTCAATTTGGCAATAATTATTTCAGTGGACATTACAGCCAGTCAACATACCGGGTTTATCCATCGATACTGCTTACAGGCTGTGCTGTGCCCTACCCAACTTCCGGCAGAACATGTGCTGACATTGCTCCCACACAACCGGAAGTTGACAGGACACGAATACGAGGCTATTGCTCCGGGGTAGCGGCCGTCGTACTCTAATGTGGCATTCGTGACGGTAGGTGGCGCTCCGCAACTTACATCATCTGTCAGGTTGAAAATTTTGATGCAGGGGAAAGTTTACATACAAACATATGACAAATGTCGAAGAAAATATCTCCATGAGACCTGTCACCTCGTCAACTATGATTCTGACTTTGCAGTGGAACTATTATCATTGATTTGAGCGGCTGCAGAAGACAAACTCACCTCTCTACATAGGAATGACAAATGCATGATATGATATGACGAAAGATTAATATAGTCTTGTAATTGCAGACTGACGAAGATATAACATGGAGTTGAAAAAAGACATCTGGTGTCGGAATTAAGCTTTTCAGATATTCTCTGGCCTAACGCCTAGTGTCTGAATATTTATGATTTTGATAGAAACACATACATCATTTTAATTTGAAAATGAGTCCCAGTAAGATGGGAGATTCAGAACTCTATTTAGATTTGGGGCTCTAGCATTGCAGAAAGGGCTGGGCGGAAGGGAAAATGACACGGTTGGGTGACTGTGAGACAGACTAGATATCCTCTTTCACTGACCTTGCACACAGATGGCGAGTTGGGAGCGGTCGATGTCACACCTTTCCATGGCAGGGAAAGTCACATTTCTGCAGGGGCCGCTCAGAGACTGATGAGTAAACACACAATAACTAACCCATCCACATATCTAATGTAACCAATACCCGAGTTTAATACACACATCTAACAGGCTAAATAGTCCAATGACATTGGTTAAAAGGCTCGTATTCACGGCAGTGTGCCACTTTAAGTGACAGTTTAGAAGTTGTAAAAACCAGTGGAGACATGCTTCAAATATATTTCAACTTCTGTAAAGAAAAAGTAGTTTATGCCATAAGTCGAGGTAGCGTTCAGGTAATAGGTTATTTTTTGTTTGTATATAAATTGGTATGAATGGATAGAGTGTTTGCATTTAAGTAGCAAGAGTGAGTGTATAAATATTAAGTGCAAAAGATATGTGTACTAAGTTTGTATGCAAAGTGTCAGGTTTTGAGTATTTTGTATCAAATTGTGAATGTGTGAGTTAATGTATGTATAAAAATGTGCATGTATGAGTTTAAAAGTAAGAAAGAATTTTGGTTATGACAATGTTAAAATATCAGAAAGAGAGAGAGAGAGATTTATGAGATGATTCAGTTACCTGAGGCTAAAGCAAGTCGGGTAACTCTAGTTGGGGCCTGAGAAGCACATGGGTGACTGAGAGGCACATGGGTGAGAGACAGCTGTGCAGTGAGAGTGTCTCACACATTAGATTTGATGATGTAGAAGGTCAAACAAAATGGTATGTACTCCAACTTATTCTTATATGTATTTATTTGGGTAGCATTATGTTAATTTGGTAATTTTGAATGTCTATATTTTGCTTTTGAAGGTTACTTTGTCAGTGAATGAATGTCAGCCATTTTCTGCATTTTCACTGTGGACTGAAACTTATGATCCTTTATTTTTGTTATTTCAGTTAATCTTCAAAATTGAACATCTTCACACTTCCATATCGTAATATTCAACATATTATCATGAGGAATAAAATTTGAGGAATTGACATTTGTTTTCAATTGGATTTTCAAAAAGAAAACTAGAACTCTACAGTGTTCATAATACAAACTGTATGTTCTGGGATATATCAAAGCAGACGGCAAACACTTTCAACAGAACATGTCAAATGTATGGTTCTTTGGTACTGAAACTTTCAACAGAACATCTCAACAGACTTTCCTCGTTTTCAACATTCAACAACAGTTTCGCGAAATGGGCAAACAAATGTCACCTTACGTCAACAGTAAGGTCAGGCTGGCCCATACTTTCAAACATCTTGGTTGTATTTACCTTTGCACATTATGCTGCATCGTTTATCAGAACTTACTCGAGAGTCTTGTGTCTTCTCATCGTAGATGCTAATCGGGTGGTATAGTTCAAGGCGTGTCGAACCCCTATCGTCTGTACGACTAATTTTACACGATATTTGAGGTGACATGTCAGCTCATATGGAAAACTAACAAGAGAGAGAGAGTGAGTGAGTATGGATTTACGACGCTTTTAGCAATGTTCCAGTAATATCACGGTGGGGGACACAGCAATTGTACCCATGTGGGGAATCGAACCCGGGTCTTCGGCGTGACGAGTGAACGCTTTAATTTAACCACTTGGCTACCCTACCACCCCAAAACTAACAAGAAAGTAGAGGTGAGTGACAGGGCAAGCGAACAGATCGATGTATCACTATCGTGACAGACATGTAATGCATTCCAGTGTCAACGGAGATATCATACAAGCCCAGTACTCATAAGAGTTGATACAAATGATGAAAATGTAAGTCACGTCATAAACTGCGATAGTATCTATTGACAGTTTCTGTACATACCTTTCCTTTTGGAATGGCAGTAACGCATGTGTACGTACATGCATGTTAATTGTATATATTTCTCAACATGCGGCCTACTGCTTTCTTCCAAACACCCAGTGTGGCCTCAACTTAGACCTTGATGTTAGACCCCTGGATTATCAAGGCGAAAATGATGATGGAAACTACAATAGACCTAAGGACATATATTAACACTCGAAAACCATAAAGTTTCGACACAGATAGAAGTTAGTCCTATTGAAGCAGGACTAGCTTGTCACTAAATTACTGACCCTTGAAGGTCCGGGTTAGAATATTGATCTTCAGTAACCCATGCTTGTCGGAAGAGGCGACAAACGGGATCGGGTGGTCAGGCTCGCTGACTTGGTTGACACATGTCATCGGTTCCCAGTTGCGTAGATCGATGCTCATGCTGTCGATCACAGGATTGTCTGGACCAGACATGATTATTTACAGAGCGCCGCCATATAGCTGGAATATTGCTCAGTGCGGCGTAAAACTAAACTCACTCACTCACTTAATTACAGTCATGAAAATATACGAGACTTGACTGAAGTGCGTCATAACCTGACCTCAGGTCATCCCCATAGTAACGCCAATCACATAGGACCACAGCTTTCCCACCCAAAGGTACGTGAGAAACAACATTGGCTTCCAGATAGCGTTCCACCTTCGCGAACTCATGTCGATTTTCGTTTGTAATCACATTTTTGAAATATTAATGGCTAGGGCTTGAATTTCAATACGGTCCTTCGTTAGAATGGACATACATTATGGATAACAACTTCTTTATTACGAGAGTGCGACGTAACGATACAGATTATTGTACAGTTGTGAAGTAAGTTGTCCTGTACAGTTGTCATTCCTGCTTGACAACGGTACAAGAGTTTGTATCGAAACGTCTCACTCTCGTAATAAAGTAGTACATATCCTTACAGGTTGTCTATTTTGTACTTCCCAGCTTCTGAAATGCCACTCAAAGAAGTTAGTTCGTGGTTAATTGAGGAATGTATTATTTGAAAACGAACAATTATTTTCAAATGAGATTCATCTATATCAATCACGTGAGAGAGTGCTTGTGTATGCGTGCGTGCGTGTGTGCGTGCGTGTGTGCGTGCGTGTATTGGGCTGACATCTAGCAACGGGCTTTCACCGCAAACACACCGTCAGCCACAACAAACACGCCAGGCACTGTCAACTCCCAAGGTTTGCGTGTAAATAAGGCATGCTTAGGTAGACGTGTCTTTGCTGTTCATACGAGTCCCAGTGACAATTAGTCGATGACATCATCATCTGTTCAGAACAGTGATTTCATGGCCTGCCTTTTATAAATTATACATGGAATTGTGATTACTGCCTCTGCTGGTATCGCTCAGTGATCTCCCCAGCCCTCATTGCCAGGTCTCGGAGAATGGCACCATCACCCATCCGTGAACATTGCGTTACAATATCAACATTGATCAGTTCTTATTCTGATCATCGACTATCGATACACATTTCACCATCAGCGGGGCGCTGCATTCCTTGCACCAATCAATCAATCAATGAAGCGTGTAAGTTATGTGATTGAAATGGTGCGCTCATTTCATAGACACGCAAGAAAAGACACAAAGTGGAATTCATAATGACAGAAGCGTGAGAAGGATTATTCAATTTATCATTTGAAACTGGTAATGAATTGGCAACAGATCGAAATTTGTGTTATTAAAATTATAAACGGGACGTACACTGAGAAGCTTCAAAGGAGTCTGTTCGATCCACAAGTACATTCTTGGGACCATGCAGAGTTCGTAATCTTACGACGTCATTGTGGGACAAACACACCAGACACAGCTATACACGGGACAAAGATAACAAGGACAATTACACCAGAGATACCTTTATAGGGGACACAGATAACATATACAGGACATATACATACGGGACACAGACATAGGACATATACACCAGACATAGCTACATACGGGACATAGATAACACAGGACATATACACCAGACATAGCTACATACGGGACATAGATAACACAGGACATATACACCAGACATAGGGACTACATACGGGACATAGATAACACAGGACATATACACCAGACATATACAGCTAGCATACGGGACATAGATAACACAGGACATATACACCAGACATAGCTACATACGGGACATAGATAACACAGGACATATACACCAGACATAGCTATACGGGACATAGATAACACAGGACATATACACCAGACATAGCTACATACGGGACATAGATAACACAGGACATATACACCAGACATAGCTACATACGGGACATAGATAACACAGGACATATACACCAGACATAGCTCCATACGGGACATAGATAACACAGGACATATACACCAGACATAGCTCCATACGTGACATAGATAACACAGGACATATAAACCAGACATAGCTCCATACGGGACATAGATAACACAGGACATATAAACCAGACATAGCTCCATACGGGACATAGATAACACAGGACACCATACACTCCACATAGCATAGATAACACAGGACATATAAACCATAAGCTCCACAGGACATATACACCAGACATAGCTCCATACGGGACATAGATAACACAGGACATATACACCAGACATAGCTCCATACGGGACATAGATAACACAGGACATATAAACCAGACATAGCTCCATACGGGACATAGATAACACAGGACATATACACCAGACATAGCTCCATACGGGACATAGATAACACAGGACATATACACCAGACATAGCTACATACGGGACATAGATAACACAGGACATATACACCAGACATAGCTACATACGGATAACACACACAGACATATAGATAACAGCAGGACATAACATACACCAGACATAGCTACATACGGGACATAGATAACACAGGACATATACACCAGACATAGCTACATACGGGACATAGATAACACAGGACATATACACCAGACATAGCTACATACGGGACATAGATAACACAGGACATATACACCAGACACAGCTACATAGATAACATAGATAACACAGGACATATATACACCAGACATAGCTACATACATGGACATAGATAACATAGGGACATATACACCAGACATAGCTACATACGGGACATAGATAACACAGGACATATACACCAGACATAGCTACATACGGGACAGATAACACAGGACATAACACAGGACACATAGATAACACAGGACATATAGACCAGACACAGCTACATACGACTGGACATAGATAACA